CTCGCGTCGTGACGTCTTTCTGCCTTCGAGATAATGTCCTGTACAAAAAAAACGCCCGTTCTACGAGCCGCGCTTACCTCCTTGTCGTTCCGAAGAACATGCGGGAAGAAGTCCTCTCCGCGTGTCATGACGAGCCCACATCTGGTCATCTAGGTTACTCGCAAACGCTCGCCAGAGTAAGTGGGGCGTACTACTGGCCCGGACTTTCGGCAAGCGTGAAGCAGTACGTTAAAAGCTGTCGTGAATGCCAGCGTCGAAAGTCGCCACCAAGCAAGCCGGCTGGATTACTTCAGCCAAATGATCCACCCCACAAGCCATTTGACCAAGTCGGCATGGACATTTTCGGCCCATTTCCTTTATCGTCCGACGGCAACAAATGGGTCATTGTTGCAACTGACTATTTGGCCCGCTATGCTGAGACACAGGCGATACCACGAGCCACGGCTTCTGAGGTAGCACAGTTCTTCATGTGCCACATTGTTCTGCGCCACGGTGCTCCATCTACAGTGATAACCGACAGAGGAACAGCGTTCACTGCACAGCTTATTGATGAAGTTTTTCGACTAAGTAACACTAGGCATAACGACGACTGCTTACCATCCGCAGAGCAACGGCTTAACCGAGCGACTAAATAAAGACAGTCACAAACATGATCTCCATGTACATCGACGCCCAACACAAAACATGGGATCGCATTTTGCCTTATGTGACGTTCGCTTATAACACCGCCGTTCAAGAAACAACCCGATTATCACCATTTCGCCTTCTCTACGGCCGCAAAGTTCAGACGATGCTGGATGCGATGCTTCCTTGTGAAGACGCCGATCAATTATCAACTGACGCAGAAGAATTTGCAGAGCGTGCCGAGGAAACTCCCCAGCTCGCCCGGCTACACATTGGTCAGCAGCATCTGGTCGATGCACGACATTACAATATGCGTCACAATGACGTATCTTACAGTCCGGGAGACCAAGTTTGGGTTTGGACCCCTATTCGACGCCGTGGCCTCTCCGAAAAGTTGCTCAGCAGATACTTCGGTCCGTATAAAGTAGTACGCCGCGTGAGCGACGTAAACTAAGAAGTGGTTCCGGACGCTACGTCGTCACGATGGATACAACGAAACCAACCGACCTCCGACATAGTTCACGTGGTGCGCATGAAGCCTTATTTTGCGCATTCCTAAAAGACCACTTTTCCCGTGTGTTTTTTTTTTTATTTGTGCTCCGACAATTGCCTCATCATTGCTGAACTTATCGCGTCTAACATTTGATTATTGGTGCCCTTTTTCATTGTTTAAGCTACTTTGTTTTGGTTTTTTTTTTGCAACAACTTTACAGCATCAGGACGATGCTCTTTCTTTTTTTTTTTTCGTTGAGGAGGAATATTGCCACCTACTTCTAGTAGTGGGTCGCATGCCAAGGTGAAGGCTCACACCACAGAGAAGAAAGAAGTGCGCGTGAGCCCCTGCTCTGGCAAACAAGACCAACCGACGCGCTTGGTTAGAGCCCTGTTGCTCAGACATCAATAAAGCTTGTCGACACCCCCTGGAACGACGTGACAATATGTATTATTGATTAATATATCCGCTATCGAACGTGGTTCAAAATGGCTCGAAAGTCCGCCAAATTGTAGTGCTGTTAGCGCTACCTCGAGCCCATGTGGAGGCCGCTGCACAGCTGATGCTGCTTTCTCAAAAAAAATGGTGACGTCACGCACACTGGCATTTTGTCTGCTAGGAGCGCACGTGCAATCAGTCCAGCTGTGTTTCTGATGATGTAGACTAAAGCAGACTCTGCAAGAGGCAGCACTGGCTTTAAACTTTGCCAGAACCAGTGGTCTCAGCTTCGCACCCGAAAAATCGGAGGTGATCAGAATACACAGCAAACGCTGCAAAAGTAATGGAAGAATAGAAATTCAAATTGAAAAGCAGAAAATTGAAGAAGTCACCGTTGCCCGGATCCTGGGTTTCAGGGTTCAAAGCAATGGTAGGGCAAATCACGCTATCGGTCTTCTTAAATCGGCAACTAAACAAGTGGCTAGGATGATTCAGAGGATCACCTTCCACAAAAAGGGCATGAAAGAAAGTGATACTGTCCGTTTAGTGCAGGCGCTCGTAATGAGCAAATTAACATACAGCTTGCCTTTCCACACGCTGAACAAGAGCGAGGAAGAGCAAGTAGATTCTATCATCATAGGGGCTTACATGGCAGCATTAGGCTTACCGATAAGCCCTCCCACACACAGGCTTCTCGAAATCCGCCTGCATAACACGTACACAGAACTGAAAGCAGCAACACTGATCTCTCAGAGCAACCGCCTCAGGCAGACGAAGTCGGGAAGAGAGATACTGATGAGGGCGGGTATACCACCGCAACCCCAAAACTTGGACGAGGAGCTGGTAGACGTACCAGACCCAGTCCGACGACATATTTCGATCGCCCCTATCCCCAGGAACATGACCAAGGAGCGGCATCACGAAAGACGAGAGGAGTGTGTAAAATGGATCAGAAAATTAGTCAGAGGCAATGAGAACGTGCTATACGCTGACGCTTCCAGGTAGAACTGGAAGCGCTACGTCGTCACAATGGTAAGCAGCGACACGAGAAGCATGGCATCCAGCGCATCACTGTACACTACATCGATCACGAAGGCCGAGTGTTTCGCCATGGCATTGACGATTAAAAGTCAAGAGCGCAACGACGGCCAGACATACATCACCATACTCCCAGATTCGCAAGAGGCATGCCGGCTATCCACGAAAGGCCGCCTCCCATTGAACATTTGCAAATTTTTAGGCGGCGAATTGAACAACTCTTATAGGTTGCTCTGGTGCCTGGGACATGCAGGCCTAGAGGGTAATGAGAGGGCGGATGCTCTAGCTCGAGCGCTCACGAGCCGAGCAGAGCAGCAGCATTTCTCGCTGTTACCACCACCCAGCAACTACAACTTTCGCGAGGAGGAGGAAAACAACCAGGCTCGGATGGCTCTGCGAGAGCTTCTTGCTCACCAGCGATGCACGCGGCAGAAATATGCCACCACCCACAAATCTCTTAAAGGGGAAGACGCCATAGACCTTCGTAAAATTCAAACGAGAGTTTATCCAAATTTATTACGACTGCACGAAATTCATCCAACTTTGTATGGGCGCGATTGTCCATGGTGTCGCGACTCGCCACCAACCCTTTACCATATCTCGTGGAGTTGTGCTAAACGGCCAAATGAACTCGATCGCTTACAGCGTATGCATAGAATGAAAAACTCTTTGGAGCATTGGGAGGCACTCCTCGCTAGCTCGGACCCGGAGGTGCAACTAGCACTCCTGGACCACATCCGGCAGGCAGCGCAAGCCAGTGGAGCCTTGGACATGGGGCCCCACCCATCTAGCTCCTAAACCCCTTCTTTTTTCAACTCAATAAAGTTATTTCTCTCATTCTTCTACTTCCGGTGTTATCAATGATCGTAATCCAAACCAGGCTCTCAACGACCACGTCCTTGTCAAGGCGGTGAACTTTGACGTGCCGTGCGGGTGGGTCGGGTCATTGCTATCACAAACTATCGTGATAACGATGACACGACCCACCGCCATTGCCTTCGCCGCCATGTTGATTTGCAGCTGGCTGTTGACATCAAGTGGTTGGAGAGATAGAGCAGCCGGTGAAGCCAAAGCCGTGAAGCAAAAAGAAGATACTATGCTATCGCGTGGCGGGAAAATTGGTCTCCGACCAATTTTTTCCAATCGGCCTTGCGGTGCATATTTACCGCGTTGCGTCGCTGGCATGCAGCGGTCAATAGGACATTCGTATCATCTGCGGTGGCTGGGAAAACCATTCATATAACACCAAATCACGGTGCATTTTATATACTGTAGTCCATCTAAAACAACCTTAAAATTTGTATCATCGTGAAATTTGCATCAACCGTAATCAAATCATCGAGATTCTACTGTACATATGCGTGACATAAGGCTCATGAATTTATCATTAGCACCAACTGCTATAAACATACATTCACCAACCTAACACCATTCTCCAACGCTATCTTCCCCCCCCAAAAAAAAGACCAATAAGCGGCAGATGAGAATGCATGCTTGCCCTTAAGTTAACATTCTGTGTTGCTGCCCTCTTTGCCCTTTCAACTGTGTCATTCCTCTGAAACAAGGCAGGTTATACGACCAAGAGAACTGGCCACACTAGAAACAGTGCACATGAAGGCATTAGCTTTCTTGACTCACCCTGGAAACCACAGAGAATAACATGACCCTCAAAACACAGTGGGTAGCGCAGTAGAAGTGGCTTGCCAGATTGTGAACATTATGGTGAATTCCATTGAGAGAACAGGAGTAGAGGGGCAGGGCACTGAGAAGTGGGGGGCAGAGTACTGAGAGCCGGGCCACTCAACCTGCTGTTGGAATGCGCCGCGCTCCCTGAGGGCAGGTGAGAAGGTGACGAGTAGGGAGACCATGTGACTGAAACATTCCAAGCCCCGACATATTCTTTGTGGGGCAGCAGCAAAATACCTGTGACATCGGTCAGCTACATGTTCTTCATTATCCTAATACCTAGTATGCATGTGCAATGGCTTATTCGGCAAACGGCCAGCTCTCATCATAGCCATCCGTACAAAACAGCGGTGTCAAATGGTCGCTACCATTGCCGCCGTACTCGCCGGCTGAAGAAAAATTTGGAAACTGTGAGGTTCAGGGCCACGTGACTCGTAGTACTCCACCTACTCCACTTTTCAGTCGAGCACACTACAAACTGCTCCGGGCTGCTTTCGGCGCAGCAAAAGCACTCTCACTCTACCAGTGGATGACAGTGCTCCTGCACCTGTTCGACCACTGAAACACGGCAGCTCTGAACAGAGCACTTTCAGTGTACTTTTGAGTGCTCCTGCTCTTTCAATGGAATTCGCCATATATAGTGTGTGAATATAATTGCAACAGTGGAGGGGGGGGGGGGGAGATGAAAACTAAATAAAAAGAGATGAGAATGGAGACACACCTAAGACGCTGTTCTTGGAGAGCGAAGGAGGTGCAATGCTCTTGGCCTCTTGCATGTCTGGCTTATATTGTGTTAGGCTGCCATCCTTCTTTCCCACCACGAGCTGCTTTCCTTTGGGGCTCCAGCACACTGGTGCACAAAATATAGGTAAAAGAAAAACAATTCACCAGCAACTTCTAAAATGCAAACTGGCTTTATTTATGCTCAGTTTGTTTAACACTGCCCATCTTACTTACTGGTATATGTAAAGCAGTCATGGTCAAGCTGGTTTGAGATTTTGAGAAATTTTTATAGCAGGAAAAAAAGCTGTTTTGTCACAGATGTGTAGCAGAAGTAACTGTGTTTAATCGCAGGTTTAAAGCTGAAAAAAATTGTGTTTTGGAGTAGGTTTGGAGCAGACGAATTGGAGGATCACCTGGAGTTGTACAGCAGGCAGCCTGCAACTCTTTAGTGCATATCCCTCTTAATGAGCAACCAAGAAATGTAATGCTAATGTAGCGAAGAAGAAGGCAACATTATTAGTCAGAGAGTAGCCATTAATAAGTCTTTACACAAAACAATGTCGCATGTGGGCTTCACCACAACACACAAAATTGGCATTGTGGCGAGCCGTTAGCGACAATGCCAGCATAGCACAAACAGTCTGCAAGTGACAGGTGTCAAAATGTCATTCACTCCTAGTTTTTCAAAAACGAATGGGGTGACCTCCCCCGCTTATGGCTCTTGCTCCACCACGATTATAACTCTAAGGATGTGCCGCTGACAGCTGTTTACCTCAAACTGGGTTTCGAGAAAGTAGTATTTGGGTCCTGCGAGTGCCGAGAACATACATACTGTTCAGTACAGTACATACTGTTCATCTCTGATTTACAAAGGCTATTATTTAGAGAAACAATTTTGTATTACACTTTAGATTTAACGATTTTAAAGCCACTGCAAGCCGCAACTGCACTTTTGTAGATTGTGACCAGGGAAAAACATGCAGCCGCAATGCTCCTGATTCATCATTGCACAAATTTACACAGTTAGCAGACATACGAGTATTGCAATGAGCACACTCGCAAGCATTTTTGTATCAAGACAAGTACATATGTGGAAATCAGCTGGAAAGTTTTGCAGGCTGACAAGAACTTGTCTGACCTTTTTTTTTTTTTTTTGAGAGTGACGGCAATATTGGCTGTTAGAAGTTTAACAAACACATAAGCACAGTCACGCATTATTTCTGGCTCGCTGCAGCATGTGCATGACCCCATGGCTCAATTTCTATCCACACTGGTTTGCCACCACAATATGTAAAATTGAAAATGCGCGAATAACGATTTGACACACGCTAGTGACACCACTAGTTGCCCAATTCGTGCCGATACATTCAGCCTCAGCGTAACAATTGGTATGCCAAAGAACTTCACACTGCATGACTGACATGGAATGCACTAATTTGCAAAATACACTCAAACCTCATAATAACAAAGTTGCATCTTACACGAAAATACGTTCGCTATATCTGAAAATTCGTTATAAAGGTATATTCTTAACACTATGTCTATAGCAAGACTGCTCTTCATTTGCTTAATTATAATTGATATTTTATTATATCCAGGTTTTTTTATTTCTATGTTTGAGTGTATCCAACTACTGCATGCCCGAATCCTAATTTGCATGAAGATGCCTCAAGGTCCTGGTAGGTATGAAACCCCAGAAATTGTGTGAAGATGCTGTTTATTGCACAAGGTGCCTAAAACGGTTTAGTCTCATGACCCACGTGCACTACACTAAAAATAAGCATATTGACTAGCTAAAAAAAATAGTTCACTCATTTACATAGTATTGCCTATTTATTCCTCATCAAGAGTGATAGAGCTTGTAGACAGACTATAATTGTCAACATGATGAAGTGTCAATAACAAAGACCACACACACACTTTTGGTTGGGTCGACTATAACGTGGTAAAATGTATCAGAGAAAGAGAGCCAATCCTTGAGTTCTGCAGTGGTTTGTAAAGGCTTAGTAAATTTGTCGTCAAATCACAAATGCTTTAGGCCAGAAACACTCCAGTGCTGTTTAAGCAGTTGAAATATGCACTACGATGCAGTTGGCATAAAATGTACTTGAATGAGCTCAGTAAAGCTGAGAGAAATGCCATTGTAGTAAGCTGGCTCAAATGGAACGATTGGACCACCACTGCTAAAGTGTTTATGTATCTTGCCTTCACACTATGTCATTATAAGGAATCATGAGATGTAATAAAAATCAGACAATGAAAAAAATAGACAAGAATAGTGAGACTAACAAAAACTAACAAACATTAATCCAGGTGTTCAAGTCGAACTAGAATACCGGAAGCCAAGTAGGACCTGGTTCTCCTGATCCATTCTCTTTTTCATAATGCAATAATATCTTCACAGCTGCACAATTTATTGCACCATGTTAACCGTGACCATCATGTCTCCATAATGCGAAACTAATATTAAACTATTGTTTGAACCATGAGACCGATAGCATAATATTAAAAAAGTAAGTGGCAATAACATTGATGTACTCACAAGCAGTGCCCCCTGCAGAACTTGGAATGTTGCCAAGAATCTTGAGAGATTCCCTAGAAAGCTCATAGATGGACACAGAGCCATTGCCAAGGCAGACAGCAAACATTTCGCACACTACTGGGTTCCATGCAAAGTCTTGCAAGGTCACACCAGGCTCTGCACTCAGCCGTACTGTCGCTATAGGTCTAGTCTCTAGTGCCTGCAGCAATAAACCAAATAATAATATGGCAAGATTAGGACCAGGAAGAAGGGCAATCTAAAATTGTCACATAGTAGGATAACAGGGCTACACTCAAACCTCGTTGTAACGAAGTTGAAGGGGAGCCACAATTATTTTGTTATAATCATTATTTCGTTATATTGATTATAACAGATTGTAGCAATGTATGCTCTGATGGGCGCACACCTTTAAGCATGCAAAGAAGGAAACCACCTCACGGCCCGATGTACCATTACGCGACCACGCGTGCGACGGAAAATAAACACATTTGAACATCATTAAATCGAACACTTTTAATTTGAACTTCCGGTTAATTCAAACTCACACTGAGGTCCCGTCAAAGCTATATGTATTCCAATGGGCGAAAATGCCCTTTGATTCGAACGCGCAAGCACTTGCAATGATTAGTTCGAACATACCACACTCCGAAAATGCTATCAGCAACATGCCCAATCCCGCAGCGGCACCTCTCAACGCTGCGCGCGAAGAAAAAATAGAAGAAAAGAAACAAAAAGACTATGGCGGATTGTTTGCTCTCTCTCAAATGCCGATCTGTGACGTGCCTGTGCCACGCTTCTCCCTTTTCCATCTCTACACGTAGAGAAAGTCACGTGCGGAGAGAGGAAAAAAAAAAAAGCTGTCACAGAGAGCCCTCCTTTCTTGGTGCAGAGGGTAGCAGCAGAGACACAGTCGTTGCTGGCGTCTTTAAAGCGCAGAGAGGGAAATAACTTTGCACCACGGCGGCGCTCCTCGGTCATGTGATCTGCTGAGCGCTTTCTCAATTTTCTCTGCTGGCTGTGTGAGAAGGACGGCTCCTGCGGCCGCCATGGCGTGGCTGTAAGGTCGGCGCAGTAATTTTGAAAGAGCCGCACGGAACGAGCGTCAAACTCCTTATAAAACGATATGCTTAACACACTACGGTCGGTTTTTTTTTATAGACTATTTGATAGACTAATTTAGTTAGTTATATTCATTTACTGGTCAATTTCACTTTGTTAGAACGAGGTTTAAAATGCATGGTTCAATAGAGTTCTCAAAAGGAATTTCGTTTACTTTGTTATATCTATTATTTTGTTATATCCCATTATGTTATAACGAAGTTTGAGTGTATATTGAACTCTTACCTGGCCTGCAAAGCCTCGAACATCATACATGTCAGCAACAGGAATGCCATCCCGCAACAATCCAACAGCCAGTGTAGTGTCATCAGCATTAAGTGCCACCAAAAGGACAGGCCCCGTCGTTGGTAACAGACGAAAGGGGCAATTCTCAGCGGGTCCTTTGCTTCTGGGTCCTTCCTCCTCATCGCAGTTTTGAATATCTTCAAGAGTGCAGATCTTCACACCTAAACGTACGTGTAAATGAGAGGAGCACATGTCAAAAGCAAGGACACAGTGCATATTGTCACGTTACACCGTAACTGTAACCTGTAGATAATGGCACACAAGGATGTCAAACTGATCCGAGCAACAACAATACAACTTTATCGTTTTTTCTCTGCACGCGCAACTTCGTCCTCTTTTGAAGAGCGGCACATACAAGCCCGCCAGCATCTATGAATATAATTCTAGCAGAACTTGTACTAGTGGCATTACCCCCCTTCTCAAAGAACATCGTCCCAATGTCACAACATAATTACCAGATTAAAAGAAAACACATACCATAAGCAGTACACAAGGGGGTGTTCACAATCCCTGTAAGTCTACTCAAGGGAGTTTGACGAATAGTCAGCGTAGGTAAAACGGTTTAATCCTCGAAATATGGACGACGTGTGGCTGTTGTGAACGGCGGGATTGACGAGCCATGTTCTCGTCAAGAACCACGTAGTTCACTTCGCTGAGACGACGGAGAACCCTATAAGTACCAAAATAGCGGTGGAACAACTTTTCCGACCGGCCCCGTTGTCGAATGGGAGTCCACAACCATACTCGTTCTCCAGGTTGGTAAGAGACATCGCGTCGACGAGCGGTGTACCGCAGGGAGTCGATGCATTGTTGCTTATGGATCCGTTCTACTGCAAGCTTACGAGCTGCGTCTGCCAGTCTGATAAATTCGTTCGTCTTGACACTAATCTGGTGTCTGTCTGGTAGAAGCATGGCATCCAGCATTGTAGTGACCTCCCTGCCGTGAAGCAACCGGAATGATGTGAATCCAGTTGTTTCTTGCACAACGGTGTTGTAAGCGAACGTGACGTAAGGGAGGATGTCATCCCAGTTTTTGTGGTCTTGGTCAACGTACATGGATAGCATGTCGGCGATCGTCTTGTTTAGTCGCTCTGTAAGGCCGTTGCTTTGTGGGTGGTATGCAGTAGTTTTTCGATGAACTGAGCGGCTAAGCTGCATGACGTCTTGTATCATCCGGGTGGTAAAAGCTGTGCCACAATCAGTTATGACAACTGCTGGTGCTCCATGTTGGAGGACAATGTTCTTCATAAAAAAGTGGTCAGTCTCAATGGTGGTGCCATGTTGTAATGCCTTCGTTTCGCAGTAGTGCGTCATGTAATCAGCAGCGACTACAATCCAGCGGTTGCCGTCCCGAGACTTGGGAAAAGGTCCGAGTAGATCAATGCCAATTTGTTGGAACGGTTGTGCCGGAGGAGCGACGGGCATCAAAAATCCGGCTGGGCGCTGATGTGGTGCTTTACGGCGCTAGCACTCGTGACACATTTTCACGTAATGCTTCATGTCTCAATTAAGCTTAGGCCAGTAGTAGTGTTGGCGAATTTGGGCCAAGGTACGCATGAATCCTAAGTGGCCTGAGGAAGGCTCATCGTGACACGCGGACAAGACATCGGCTCGTAACGCTGGCAGGACGACGAGCAGGTACTCAGTCGCGTAAAGGTCGAAGTTTCTTTTATAGAGGATATTTCTGCGAACGCAGAATGATGATGGCGAGCGGGCGAATGCTGGTGGTGGATGCGGCGTACGGCCTTCAAGATATTCGATGAATTGTCGAAGTTCAGAATTGTTCTTCTGCTGTTCAGCCAAGTCGGATAAAGTAACGGCGCAGAGAAAACGGCTATCTAGATCGTGATCATCTGACGCTGTCTTAAGAGGAGCTCGGGAAAGGCAGTCCGTGTCAGTATGCATCCGGCCAGACTTGTACACGACTGTAAAATCGAACTCTTGAAGGCGTAAGCTCCACCCGGCCAGACGTCCGGAAGGGTCTTGTAAGGTTCGCCAACCAGCAGAGCGCATGATGATCGGTAACAACTCTGAACAGGCGACCATACAGGTACGGTCTGAATTTAGCTATTGCACAGACAACAGCTAGGCACTCCTTTTCAGTGGTTGTGTAAGTCGCCTTTGCAGATGATAAAATCTGACTTGCATAAGCAATAGGGCGTTCGACACCGCCTTGCCACTGGACGAGGACTGCACCAAGGCTGATGTTACTGGCATCTGTGTGTAGTTCAGTGTTGGCATATTCGTCGTAGTGTCCGAGCAAGGGCTCAGACTGGAGACGCTGCTGGAGCTCGGAGAAAGCGCGTGTTTGCTCAGGGCCCCACACGAAGGGAACATCTTCTTTTGTCAGACGAGTGAGGGGTTCGGCAATGTTTGCGAAATTTTGCACTGTAGTATGTAGTAGTATGTCTGTAGTATGCGCAGAGGCCTAAAAATCGACGCACGTCACGTTTGTTGGCAGGTGGTGGAACATCTGCAACAGCCAATGTTTTGTCTGGGTCCGGCCGAATACCATCATGGCTAACAAGGTGGCCGAGGAACTTTAATTCGTTGTAACCAAAATGACATTTTTGTGGTTTCAGTGATAGGCCTGCCGTGCGAATTGCAGCAAACACAGATCTAAGTCGCTGCAAGTGCTGCTCAAACGTTTGGGAGAAGACAACGACGTCGTCTAAGTAAACAAGGCATGCTTCCCACTTGAGACCGGAGAGCCCCTCTATCCATCATCCTCTGGAATGTCGCAGGAGCAGAACACAGACTGAAGGGCAGCACCTTGAATTCGTACAGACCATCAGGCATTATGAATGCTGTTTTCTCTCGTTCGCGTTCATAAACTATGATCTACCAGTAGCCACTGCGCAAATAAATAGAGAAATAGCGGGTGCGTCAGAGGCGGTCTAGTGAGTCGATGTGCGAAAGAGGATAAACGTCTTTCTTTGTGACATTGTTGAGTTTGCAGTAATCTACGCAAAATCGGAGAGTGCAGTCCTTTTTCTTTACTAGTACGACGGGGGACGTCCATGGACTGTTCGACGGTTGGATTACGCCATCTTCGAGCATCTGCTTGACTTGAGAACGTATTGCCTCTTGTTCCTTTTGTGATACTCGGTAGGCGTGCCGACGTATGGGTCGCTCAGCATGGTCAGTGACAATGCAGTGCTTTACGGTTGGCGTTTGCTTTATCTTGGATGTAGACGCGAAACAGTCGCTAAACACGCAGAGGATACAGCGGATTTACTCTTTCTGGGCACATGACAGCTTCGGATTGACATCGACTGTATCGGCTACCGCGGTGTCACTTTCAACAGCTGCAGAAATTGGGGCTATCGTCATACACGCTTCATCGTCAATAGAATCGAAATGAGCGATTGTTGTTCACTTGGCCAAATGTTGGTAAGGTCCACTAAAATTGGTGACCAACAACTCAGTCGTCCCACGTTTAAATTGAATTACACCCCGGGCAATGCAGATTTGCTGAGACAAGAGCACTGAAAGGTTGGCTTCAGCGATACCACCACTGTCATGATCTATGCCGCCCTGTACAGTAACGAACATACTGGTGCGTGGCGGAAGTGTGACGGTGTCGTCGACAATGCGAAGCGTAGTCTTCTGCGGATCGGTATCTCTAGGCTTCAGGCCATAGTCATCAGGAAACGTTACGAGGCAGTCTCGAAGATTTATAACAGCGCCGTGCTCGCGAAGGAAATCCATGCCAAGGATAACTTTCCGGGAGCATTCGGGAAGCACAACGAAAGAAGAATGAACGTCGACTCACAGATTTGCAGCCTTGCAGTGCATATCCCGATTGGTGTCAAGGGATGACCACCTGCTGTCCGAAAGTTTGGTTCATGCCCCCAAGGAGTCGTAACTTTCCCGAGTTCAGCCACAAGTTCAGCGCTGATAACCGAGTAGTCGGCGCCGGTGTCAACCAGAGCAGTCACTGGATGGTTGTCGACAAGGATGGCAATGTCAGCAGAAATGGGTTCGTCAGCGATGTGAGGTGTCGGCTGAAAGGAACCGTTGAATGTCGGCGGATGGGTCAGAGGAGGCTGTTTTGATGATAGCTAAACAGCAGTCCCACCCCCGGAGGCCGCTGATTCTAGTTTCCCCGGCGTGGACTTGGGGACCTAGCGGATCGTCCCGCAACAACATCGGTGAAAGTAGAGTATTGATTCGCGGACGTAAAGCGTCGAGGAGACGGAGAGCGTGACTGGCGTCGCTGAAGATTCGGAGACGGTAGACTTGCCAAGTATTCTGCGATAGCACAGGGTCGTTCCCCGTCCTTGGGTTGACGAGCGTCTGGCCGAAATCCAGGTAAGCCCATCTGTCTGTACGAGCACTCCCGGTACAAGTGACCTGGCTCACCACAGTGGTAGCAAAGTGGCCGATTGTCGGAAGCGCACCACACGCTCGATTTCCGCAAATTAGGTGGCGGATTCTTATAGTGCGGCGGGCTCGAGAAGTACTGCAGCATCTGCAGGCAAGTCGGTCATTGGTTTTCATAGTGCGGCAGGCCCGAGAAGTGCTGCGGTGCCTGCGGGCTGGTCGGTCGGGGGAAATAGCTGGCTGCCGATGCAGGAGTGCGTACAGTTTCCGCATACGTTAGCAGAGGAGCTTCGGTTGGAGGTGGCACTAATGGTCGTACCAGCTGCCGCACCTGTTCACGGACGACGTCTGTCAGAGCAGCCACTTGAGGCTGTGAGGGCACTGCGTGAAGCTTTTGCAGCTCGTCGCGTACAATGCTACGGACTAGCTCAGCAAGGTCTCTCACGCTCGTGACGTCGGGTGTTACCAAGGGTGCTGACAGACATGCAAGGTTGTCGAACCGCTCATACTGCGAAGACCGCTGTCTTGGCATTCGCTCCATTGTCGTCGCTTCATCGAGGAATTCCGCCACGGTAGCTGGTGGGTTTCGTACAAGTCCTGCAAACAGCTGCTTCTTGACACCCCGCATCAGAATGCGTACCTTTTTGTCTTCCGTCATTGCAGAATCCGCTCGACGGAACAGATGAGACATCTCCTCCCTCAAAAAACATGGCCACACTTTCATTTGGTCTTTGCGAGAATCGAGGAGACGTTCAGCTTGTTCTTTCCGGCCGGCGCTACCATACGTGTTCCGCAGCTGAGTGCAAAACACCAGCCAGGTTGTCAGGGCGGCCTC